GGGTTGAGTGGTTCTGGGAAGGAAAAGAAGGGGGACAGTAAGAATTAAACTCACAATCGTGGAGATTATGTAAACCTTTAGCACTGCAGAGAGGCAGATGACTGATAATTCCCGACAGATATTAATTGTGGACAAACATATTTGATGGCTTTGAATCTTAACTAGTAAAATCATGTTTTTAAAGATGCTGGTGTAAGACATAATTGACACTTGAAAAGTATGCTCATCTATCATAGGATAACTACAGATAGCAGTACTAAGTGGCATAAAGTTACTTTCTGAGCAAGAAAGGGAAAAGTATGCTCCTATTCAGACACCTTCAAATTCAAGAAAGCATATCCAAGAGTATTTCTAAGTATAATTTTATGATTCATGTTTGAGCTTTTCTGTGTATTGCACATCTTTCCAAGATTTTCGGCAAAGAGTTATAACCACGTATTGCATTTATTCTGCATATTCTTATCATCTATGATGCTGACGATGAAACAATTTTTGCTTTACTAGTCATCTTTCCTCTGGGGTTACATATTTTCCTCTGTGATTGGAGGAGCATTAGTAGATAAGTATGGAGGAAAGAAAGTGATTGCTTGGGGTGCAGCTCTTTGGTCTCTCGCCACTCTTCTTACTCCATGGGCAGCAAATCACTCCACAATCAGTCTGTTGGCTATTCGTGCTTTCTTTGGTCTTGCTGAAGGAGTAGCTTTGCCTTCTATGAACACCCTTTTGTCCAGGTAATTTGAATTTCTCATTGTAGCCCAAACACCTATAACCATTATTGGGACAGAGCCAAGAAATTGTGGTATCTACTTTTTCCAAGTACTTTATTAGGAATACAACAATGTTTTGAATTATTATATGGTTAAGAATATACGTAATATTTTTCTCGAAAAAGATATACTATGTAACATTATCCAAGCTTAAAGAATGAATAAAAAGGGCAGCCCTATGCACGAATCATCCCGCGTTTACGCAGGGTCCGGGGATGAATGAGAACCACAATTGATTTGAAGTTGCCTCATTATCGGCTTGTGGCAAACTGAAAGATACTCCTAAATGCTGAAAAATACTCCACCTAATTGACTTTCAATGTTGTTAGTGGCATATTAATCAAGTGAAGCGTTTGTGCTCAAGTTGCAGGCAGTGACCAGTCCTACAAATGTTAAGATTTAAAATCATTGGTTCCTTGTATATTATGGCTTTATGTAACTGAAAGAATATGTTCTGCATGTTCAAGAATAGCTGAGTTTGTATGTTCCTCCAATTATGCAGGTGGTTTCCAAGCCATGAACGGGCGACTGCTGTTGGAATATCCATGGGTGGGTTCCATCTTGGAAATGTTGTGGGTTTGGTGCTAACTCCGTTATTTATGTCCTCGGTTGGAATTTCTGGTCCCTTCATCCTTTTCTCATCTCTTGGGCTTCTCTGGCTTACAACGTGGATTAACCGGGTGACAAATGATCCACAAGAAAGCAATTCTATAACAAAAGCAGAGCTGAGGTTGATCCAAGCAGGGAAATCAGATTCTCCTCCTCTAAAAAAAGGAGAACTTCCACCACTGCAACTGCTGTTGTCAAAAATGCCCACTTGGGCTATTATTTTTGCTAACGTCACTAATAACTGGGTAGCCCCTCTTTCTTTGACTTGGTTCCTTCTTGGTACCAGAGCATTGATGTTATATTTGACGATAAAATATTTGAAATTTGAAGTCTGTGTAGTTAACTTAAAAAATCTTTAACTTGTTGCAGGGATATTTTGTTCTTCTCTCCTGGATGCCTGTTTATTTCAAAACGGTGAGTCACAGTTCCTTTTATTTCATCTGCCTTTTCGCCTGTGGCAAGGCAGAAGATCTTGCATGGGTCCAATTCTGCTTAGAAGATAAAGAAAAATTCCGTCCAGATAATTTGTTCTAAGTTACATTCTTTATCTTGTACTGCAAATATACTAGGACCATAGGTGTTTAGACTGAGAGCCTATTTTCAGGAAAATGTTGTCGAAAGTCTTCTTGATATCTGCTTGAGAGAAATTGTTTTCTTTGTTTCCAGGTTTTTAATGTGAATTTGAAACAAGCAGCTTGGTTTAGTGCAGTACCATGGGGCACAATGGCATTCTCAGGCTATGTTGCTGGAGCTGCATCAGATTTCCTAATCAAAGCAGGGTACTCATTGACATTCGTCAGGAAAGTCATGCAGGTAACTTATCTGCCATTTGTAACAGCTGCATAAAGGGGAAATAACTTTGTTTGGTAACATAATGTTAGAATCTGTAGTTTAAGTTGTCTTTAGAGATCGCAAAAAATGGCCTATAATGATATGGTGTTCTTGCAACAAATTACGCCTTCTTTGAGAAGACAGTCATGACCAGCAAATGATATATTACAATTACACAGCACAAGTGTATTTCTTCATTTCCTCGCACTTGTACTCCTCAATTATCATTCATAGATATGAAAGTTATGTTGATAATCCATTTTTTTCTTCTTATAAGGGGTTTGGCTGATCCAAAATCTTAGTCTACTATTCTCTTGATCTGTCCAGCATTCATGACCTGATTTGAGCTTTTTATGAAATTCCCACATCTATTTTGTTTTAAAATATTGCAGTCTATCGGTTTCATTGGTCCCGGGATGTCTTTGCTCTGCTTGAATTATGCCAAAACACCTGAGGTTGCAGCAGTGATGATAACTATAGCCCTGAGCTTCAGCTCTTTCAGCCAAGCTGGTTTTCTACTTAATATGCAAGTAAGCTACAAATTTCAATTGTTGATTCTTCCTTTAAACTAATTTCTAAAGCTACTTATTGACAGTTAACTTTACTCTGAAAGTCAATTTACTTAGCTTGCCTTTTCTTTTTTGGATAGGATATTGCACCTCAGTATGCAGGATTTCTACATGGTAAGTATCTATTGTAACCTTCTGCCACTCTAGGGGTCGTTTTGTTTACGGTCTAGTTATGCATGGATTATGTTGCATAGGTTATTTATGCTGGATTTTATACCGGAAACTTTATATGGAGATTAAATTTCCTTATACTTCAAACCAAACGACTTCTAAATCTCTTGAGGTTTTCTTGTGCACCTAACATGTTTTTCCTCTTATCAAACAGGGATTTCAAATTCAGCAGGGACACTGGCAGCTATAATAAGCACAATTGGAACAGGCTTCTTTGTACAATGGCTAGGATCCTTTCAAGCATTCTTAACTCTCACTGCTTGCCTCTACTTTGTCACAGCCATCTTTTGGAATATCTATGCCACAGGAGAGAGAGTTTTTTAGACTCTAGTCTAATATTTTCCAAATGTTGGCTGGCTTGTATGAGGATAAATTCATTTAGAGATAGCAGAAAGGACAATAATTACATCCTTTACAAATATTCAATTTTTTCTTTTCACTCAGTCTCATGGATGTGAGTGAGAATATATATATATATATTTTCATGTCTAGTTTACTATTTTATCTTTCGAAGGAAAGAGGAATAGCCTACTTATTTTTTCACCCTTGTAAACATTTAAGTTACTTTTAGAAGAATATATTAGAGAAATTTTGGAAGCATAAATTTTGGCAAATCCTCTTGTATTTGTCCTTGGCCTCAGGAAAGGAGCTCCACCCAGGCCATATTGAAGCTTCATTACACTAGCTTATAAGCACTTATCGGTTTTGATGAACACTAAAAATATTTACACCAAAAGTCATATATTGATCACCCACACCTTTATCACGACTTCTTTTAAAATCTATCAACACCGTCCACGACCGTCAAGAGAACTCAAGTTCTTAGGAAGATGTTTGCCATCAAAATCAATCACATTGCTTTGGTTGAGAAAGCTCTTACTTTTGTAGATCACCCTTCTTCATCTCTTTATTTTTTAAAAGCTTGTTTTGCATTGTGTTTCCTATCCAAATATCTATTCTTAATTGCATCTTGTTTGTAAGGGAAAACGTGGTTGTTTTGCAGAAACATATGTTCAGTTTCCAAACTTCTCTTGTGCTTTTCAAATTTCTAGTCTTATTGTTAAAATAAAAGTTAAGAAAAGGTATAAATTCCTGGAAATGATGCAACATATTTAGCTGCTCAATAAAGGATGAAGCTCTGCTATTAACGAATATATTCAGCTTAAGATTTGTTCCAACTTTATAGTTTCATAAATTATGGTTAATTGTTTCATTATATATGATTTATATAAGATAATATTTTTATTTTTTTTAAATTCCTAAGTATAAGAGCTTTCTACATACTTCAAATAAAGAAAAATTTAATAAGTAAAATTTTATATGTATTGAGTTTCGTTCTTTTATAATACTAATATAGATAAATAAAGAAATTCATGTACATTTTACAGTCATAGATAAAAATAAAATATAAGAATGTGACTAAATTTAAACTAATATGTAATTATTATCATTCCAGTCCTATAGATGTTAAAATAATGTACCAATTCGACTTGCGACATTGAAATAAATTTTTAATAATGAAACTTCGTCTAGATCAGTACAAAAGGGGTAAAAAGATTCTCCCTTTTTCCTTTTCTGTCAAATATGAGTTACTTACTTCGAAAATAAATACGATCACATCAATATAATTTTTTTCTAGCTCAAATTCCAACTTTGTTTGATGTTCAAACATATGCATATTTGTTTTATTAATATTCAACTTTCGTATTTCAACTGTCTTATCAAACAAAATATTTGTACGTTTATGTCTTACATGCTAAAGCACATAAATTTATTTTCCTTGCAGAAACATAAACTATAAATACAGGTACTTCCACATATTTGTCTTATGGTACACGATAGGACAACATATTTCAGTTATCGTATTCCTATTCGTATTTGACAATTAGATAATACAATTACAGCTCGTAAATATTACATAAGTAGCAATTTTAGGATTTTAAATTCCTATATCTAAATAGAGCTTAGTACGAGTGAAAGTGCTTGGCATTTAGACTCCTAAATCTAAAACGAGTTGATTGTGAAGGACTCTTAGAACGGAAAGGAATTGAAAGTACTAAAAATTAATGTAAGTTTTCAGATTAATATCCTTGGTAAGAAAATAATTAAATGCATATTCATAAATATTAGAAAAATAATTAAGTGATTATTTTTACAGATGAAAAAAAAGAGAGACTATTTGTCTAGTATGAATTCATTTTTAAACGATAAAAAAGATAAATAATATTTCGCTAAGGGCCTTGGTACTTTTAATAGAATATAGATTGTTTCATTTTATATTAGCTTATTATCATAAAATTTGCACAGTTCTTCATAAAACAAGTGATATATTCAATTTGCTGTAGCTGTATTAAGGAGCAATCTTGTGGAAACAACTAAAACTATAATAACGCTATGTGATCTTTGCTAAAATGGGTATAGGTAATTACCAAAAAATAAACTAAAACTCGTACAAAGTACTATTGTCGTCTTTTCCCCCTCTCTTACAAATTACTTTGTTTTTTTCAACCTATTCTCCAAGTTAGCAGCAATTAATAAAGTTAACGGACTCACTGCGATCAATATAGGAAAAACAACTCATTTTGGCAATCTAAATATTCTTGTATGCCATAAGACATCTGGAATTTGATAATGTTAAGGACTAATTGTATCAACATGCGACCTTAAAACCTCTTCTTCGTCTGTCTACAGAGAGAGAGAGAGAGAAATCATTTACTCTTCAAACCCAAAACACAGGCAATATAATAGCCACAAGGACAACACTTTTACATCTTATTTTATAATTCACATACTTAGTCAACTACACCAGTTTTTTCTTGACTTTACAACATGTAAAGCACCTCAAACTTCATTCAACTAAGCATTTTTGGGTTCTTAAACTGTTTTTCTTGGTAAAATATATTTTTCTCGGTGAATGGTGATTGGTGATTGGTTCCAAGATTTTATATCTTTATTCAACAACAACGTACGCTCCCGTTGGGTTGGTAATGTTAGTCATCACTACCTGTGTTTCTCTAGATAAATTCATCTCGGACCAATATTAGGCCATCTCCAACCTTCCCCATTTTTCCATAATAGGGGTAACTTTTGCCATAATGAAGCTCCAACCTTCTCTCATTTTTGCCCCAAAAATGGGGGATGAATAGTGTTCCCCTCCCCCATTACTATTCATGCATATTTTATTATTTAACTCTTTTAATTTATCTATTTATATATACCTAATTATATTTATGTAATATCTTTATAATATTAATTTTACATTTTAACTTTGGCGTATAATTTTGATAAATTAATTTTCGTGCATTTATTATTTTTATGTAAAATTGTAAGTTAATTTTATTATAAGTTGTAATTGTACAAAAAATATATATAATCATCTCAAAAAATAAAAGATGCAAATATAAAATATTAGATGTTACTAAAATTGAAAGGTGAAAATTGAAAAATACATGAAAATTGGAAATACATGAAAATTGAAAATACATTAAAACTTAGTATACATAAAAATTGAAACTACGGTAAATAGCATAATAACTTATTAGGGAGGTATGTCATTTTTAGATACACCAAAATCATTATAGTATTGAGTGAATAGGGCCGATGATTGTTATGGTTGTGACTGTGGATATTGTTGACTTCTTTTATACATTATTCGTTGTTGTTCTTGTCGCATAAATTCACGACGAGTCGGATCGATAATAGAATCCTCATCCATCATTAAAACTTTATTTTCTTCTTTCATTTCTTTTACTCTTAGTTTTTCTTTTTAAACAGTTAAAACTTCTTTTTTTGGCTCGGTTGCATTATTCATCGCCTCAACCATCCGATTATTTTCTGATTGGATTGTCTTCATATAATCTTCGTCAATTTTTCTCTTCATTTTTGCAATTGTTGCAGGACCCTCACATTTTTGGCAAAAGAAGTGCGACATGATATAATGACTATATGTATTATACTGCACAACATGATAATCGAAAATGAGCGTGATCTTAATGCATCAATTCAAGATGATTTGGAAGGTCCACCTCCAACAGTAGAAATGACAGTAGATGAAAATCAACGATCTCAAGAATTTTTAGCTCAACATAGAAGAATTAAGGACAAAGATGCTCATTTTGCACTTCGTAATGCATTAATAAATCATTTATGGGAGAATATTAGAGATTGAAGTTGAATATTTATGTAGTATTTCGAATAAATTTTATCGTTATGTAATATGTATTTAATTAATCTTGCATTGAATTATTAGTTAATCTATAATAATTGCTTACAAATTATATTATTTAAAATTTTATGGAATTGTTTTAATGGAAATTACAAATTAATGAAAATAAAAGATGGAATTTGTTTAATGGAAATTAAAAAATAAAATTAAAATGAAAGATAATAATATAATATAGAAGAGAGAGAAGAATATAAAAAAGAATATTCTCTTTTGGGGGGAAAATGGAGGAATGGTTGGAGTAAGTTGTCACCAAAATGGGGAATCTCCATTTTGGGGACCAAAATGAGGGTAAAGGTTGGAGATGCCCTTATACAAAAATAAAAAAATAAAAAAATAAAGAATATTGAAGTTCTCTTTATATTTTACATGCATAAAAATCTCTACTAGAGCTAAAAGGCTCCAAAAAAGCATAGGACCTAAAGTAAATATACTAACATGACTAAAACATATTCCCAACTAATTGATATCTATCACTTACATAGATAGTTTTCTTGCATTATGCCCTAACTGATCATTTAATCACGAATTTTTAATTTTTATTTGATGAGGTTTATTGAGATAGTGTATTGTATTTATCATTATGTTAATAGTCAGTTAGGTATGTATTAGCATAGCTTTAGATGGTTAGTATTGGGTCCCACATGTAATATGTATATATACACAGTTAAGTTTCTAACACAATTCAATCAGCTCGTTTTCACACATAACCGACTCTTCTTTCTCCTCTGTTTTCCCTTTTCTCCTTCGAGAATCCTCCATGGTTCCACCATTGTAGTTCAAACTTGAGCCCTACTCCTCTAATGCTTTTAAATTTTTACATAGTATTAGAGCGAGGTGTTGTACTCGCTATTCTCTCTAATTTCTCTTAGTTTTTTAGATTCTAGAACCACAGTCACAATCTCCGTCTTTTGCCCTAATTTTTCTCGATCCGACATTCTCTTCTTCTCGTTTCATTTTTTTCCGACAAATTGATACTGTTTTCTCATGGCTATCCTTGATCCAAACAATGATTCTGGAGTTGAATCGATTGATTCAACTTATGTCGCCGGTATTGATCCTGGAGTCAACCCAAGCTGCCCATTTTACATGCATCCATCAGATAATCCTGGTGTGATATTGGTGACGGCTCCGTTCAATAGCGTTGGATACCGATCCTGGAGAAGAAGTGTTCTTAGAGCCCTCTAAGTCAAAAATAAAATAGAATTCATGATTGGTGAGTACAAACGACCAGATATAGATTATCCGCAATTTCGTCAGTAGGAAAGGTGTGACGATATGGTAACCTCATGGATCCTGAATTCTCTATGCAAGAAAATCGCTGATAGTGTTGAGTATGCTAATAATGCTTTTGAACTTTGGAGAGAGTTGGAAGATAGGTACGATCAGACC